GTCATTGCTTAAGGGTCCCTAGCTTTCGTTTACTGTGCATAAAGCCATAGTTGAAATATTTTCTATTTCTGGAGGTCATTAGAGGTCATTAGAGGTCATTAGAGGTCATTAAAATTCAATTTGATTTTATTTTATGAATTTCGATCACTAATTAGGCGTGCACCCAAAAAATTGGAAGATTTGAACCAAAAATGAAGGCAAGGCCCCCCCCCCCCTACATCAAATGTGCCAACTCCACCATCCCCTTTAATACCTTTAAATCTCCAGCTTCACTCTCAACATCTGATGGTTCATCCTTTATAGTAGAGAGGGTTTGGAAGGCGGCTCTATCCGCCGGATCTGCCATAGCAATAACTCCAGTGACCGGAGGCAGGAGACTGGTCGGAGTACAGTTACTGAGGTTGGTTCCAGGATCAGCACAGGACAGGAGAAGCTCCGTGCACTGCTTAATCCAGAAGTGTGGACCCATAGCCTCCCAGTTCTGGCTACAGACAACATACAGCAGGCGGTCGTGAAGTCTTTTCCGCATAGAGGAATCAAACACCTCAAAGAATTTAGCCCTGATGGCCGGCTGGACACAACGAAGACCGGCCAAGAAAGCAGGTTCAAGCTTGCTGGTCAGCTCACTTCCTTTCAGTGTTTCATCTCTATATACAAAGTTAACCATCTCTAGGAACTGTCCATTGAGCTCCAGATCATCAGGGAATCTTTTCTCGACGTTCTGCATGAGTTTGGCGAGCAGGATGGACTTCTCCTTTAGACTGGGTCCCTGGTTAAGCAACTTAGCATCCCTAGTTTTCATCCAGTCCTCCAACATCTTTACTATTGCTTTCATTACCTAAACATAAATAAGACAGTGAAATTAAGCATCGAAAAAATAAACAGTAAATGTTAGAAATTATTGATTAATATTAATAACAATTGTCAATAATTTCCCTTCACTTCAATTTTGCATTTATGCATAAAATTATAATGATAGTATGCACAATGTATCTAATTTGTGAGAAAATTGAATAAAAGTATTTTCTTGTTCTTTCCAAACAAAAATTCTCGAAAAAAAATTCTTTCCAAACAAATTTAATTCTTGAAAAAAATGTTGTAGAAAATAAATAGTGTATGCTGTGGTGGAGGCTAAAATTTTTTAAAAGAAAGGAAATTAATGCACGGCGACAATTAATTGAAAGATTTGAAGGCCAATTTTAACAATAATAAAGTAAGTTGCAACCAACCTTAACATCTGGAGATTTCTCAATAAGTCCAACCAGAAGTTGACCAATAAATGCTTTCCTCATATCCTGACCCATCACAGCGACCCTGTTCTTTACAAGATCTAGAGAAAGGATGAGGAGCTCGCTAGCCGCAGCACTGTTCTCCGGATTAGTCGGGGTGAGATGTTCTCTCACCATCCTCTGCAGAACTCTCATAAAACTTGTGATCAACCTTAACAAATAATCAAAATCAAACCCAAATGTTTGAGATTTATTTGGATATTTATTAAAGGTTTAATAAACTTGGACAAAGGAAGAAGTTTGACTAATTTATGTAAATGTTTCAGACTATCTAAAGATTGCCCTCCAATTCCACAGAAAAAAAGTGAGTAGTGACAGCTGAAAAACAAAAACCTATCAGAAAAAAAAGTAATTGAAAATCTGAAAGTTAAAGTTTTCAATTCTTTTGATTTGAAGTAGTCAATATTAAATTTTTTGGAAGGCTGATATTAAAAAACAGCATTAATGAAAACCGTACAAAGCATGAATATATCAATAAAACAAAGCTTATTGAGAAAAAGGCACTGATCTACTAATACCTGTAAAAGACAGTAATCTACTAATACCTGTCTATATAGCAAGCATTATTAATACAAGCTGCCTTCAGCATCATCAAGGTTCCAAACAGAGAGCTAGGAGGAGCCTGAGCATTCTTTTCATAACCAGCCAATCCTTCATAGATAACCTTTCCTACAGCAGCATACAGCTGGTCCAGCTCCTCGTGCTTAGAAGCTACGGAGGAGGAGGTGGGCTCGGTTGGGAACTGAGACATTAGTCTTGTCATCAGACTGTGCACGGACCGAATAACCTATGAAGAAAGAAAAAGTTTTAAAAACGTAAGACTTTTTAACATTTTCATAAAGTTGGATATTTCAGAAAAAAAAATAATAAGATTGTTGTTATAATTTTCTATTCCAAAAAAAGGATGTTTTGGAAAAATAAATAAATGAAGACAAAGTAAAGTTTAATAATTAATAAAAGGTAATTTTAAGGTGCAGTAACTTTTTAAAGGAAAATACATAAAAAGGGGGAAGGTAAAAATGAGAAAGAGGTGCAATAATTTATGAAAGAAAAGATGTAAAAGCAAAAGCAGATAAAAAGAAACTTTGAAAGAGGAGAAGAGGGCAGTTACTTCTAAAAACAAAAAATATTTAAATGTTTATCTTTTTATTACCTTTGAATTTGGACAGTTCATGCAAGTTGCAATAGACTTCTGCAGAGGTTTGAACGCGGCAAGGATCTGTTCCTTCCTAAGGATGGATAGAAGGAAGGTGAGGAGTTCTAGACAGGTACAGATATTAAGATAGTTTGGCTGATTGGAATCTACTCCCTGGGGTCCAGCCAAGATCTTCTCAAAACTGGCAAGTTTAAGATCAACAGCAACATTAGGCCAGATGTCTGGTTTAAGTGCAGTTTTGAGTAGAGCAACACATCTTCTTGACATTATTTCTCCAGGTGAACCTCCAGTAGTTGCCTGATTGTCTGCTACCTGGCAGGCCAATCTAAGTAGGTAGTTTACAATACTATCAGCATGTTGTTTCTCAAGAGGTTTCAGAGCATCAGGTTGGGGTTTTCCAGGTCCAGATAGCTTTGCTTTCTTTGCATCTGGTAATCCATCTAAACTCATAGGTCTCTTTCCTGGTTCATCATCATCTACTCCAGACTCATCCTTAGCACGTTGAACCTCCCACTTGATGGCAACCTCGCAAAGATCAACAGCAAGTCTTTTCTGCTCAACTGTAGCTGTTGCGGTGAAGCCAAGTCTTTGAATACTTGCAACAATATGCTGCATTAGATGATGTCGAACTGGATAATAAACTTTGTGATGTTTAACAACCAACTGTAGGATATGGACCAACTGACTCCCAGTATGACCATCTTCGACAATAATTTTCTTTGTCCAATGGGTAAGCATTGTATTTCCATCCTCCATTCGACCAGGCATGCTAGGTGTCAAGATCTCAAGGGCTTGTCTAACTACACCGCGTGCTTCAACTGCATGTGCTTTCAGTAGAGAATGGAACACTTGCAGAACTATTCTCTTGTGAATAGCAAACTTTGCAATGATATGGGAGAGGAGAAGATGTCCATGATAACGGGTAGATGGGTCAACACAGTTCTTAGACAGAAGACAGGGCCAGGCATAGGTCATGAGACGCCTCAGTTTATTTCCTTGCTTTTTGTTAGTAGCATCGTGAATATGCTCAGCTCCTTGGTCAACCAGAAGACAGGAGAACTGCAGTATTAAGATTCTTACATTGTCACTTGTTCCAAATGGATTGTCTGGATCAATGATGTTCAGAATAAAGGATGAAACAACATTTACATCATTCTCAATATCTGGAGCAGGAGGGGAACCAATCAATTTCTCCCCTTCACCATGATCAAAGGACCAGGCAAAAGCTGGTATCAGGATATACTGCAAAATCTTAGCCTTCAGATCCTGAGTGAGACCTTGACTTTCTCCAGTATTGGTTTCAAGGAGACGCCATAGTCTAACAAACTCAAAAAACGCATTCCTTTTCCATTCAACACTATACTTCTGTCCCACTTCAACCTCCAGAAAGTCCTTCAAGAATTGGAAATCTGTCAAGAATCTACCACAAAGTGCTCTCAAGCAATCAAACAACAAAGATATGTGAGAATCTTGGTGCTGCTTGAAATAAACCAACAAGATTTTAACTATCAGTTTTGGCTCTTTCCAGTGAGTATAGTCAGTATTTTCTCCTTTTCTATGTTTCTCTTGGTAGGTTTGCTCATTGCACCAGATACCTCGGATAGTCTCGATCAACTGCTGTTGGTTTAAAATCCAGGTTGGACATTTTTTAACAAGTATGTAGGTATACCTAATAGCCCAGTACTGGATTTCAGCTCTTTCATTGGGGCTAACCTGGGGTGCTTGTTGAATACCAAGCTGTACAAGCTGGTTAGTGCTTGTGGTTCCTCCAGTCATCATGGCAATCAGTTTCTCTGTCTTGTCTTGTAAAGAATTACGAAACATCTGGCCGTCTTCATGCTTAAGTAAATACTCAACATATCTAGACCATTGGCTATCCTTGGCATATAGTTCTTGCAGGAAAATGTCTAGGGTTTCAGAAGGAAATCTGGAAAGATATCTTCTCAATGGATCCCGTAGTAAACTGCCTGGTTCAACAGCAAGTGCTTTCTCTGTAGTTAAAACAAGTTTACAAAGAAGTTCAATAAATCTAGCTGATGCGGAGGGGATCCTGTGGAACAGATCAACTATTGCAGCAGCAATCTTTAACTGATCCTGACCTCCTGTCTTGTTCTGTCCTGCTGCTGACTTCTGAGTAACAATTGCAACCTCCAGCCACTTCTTCAAATGTTGTAGAAGCTGTTCACAAAGCCGTTCACTGAACACATTACTAAATAGCTGTGCAAGATAAGCTAGTTTTTGAATGAGAACCAGAGTAAGGTTGCGGTAGTCTGCCAGGTTTAAAAGCAGCTGACGCATCACCTGATGAACCATATCCATATCAATTTGGAACCCAGCAATGAAAGATTTCATGCATTCAAAACTGGTTTCTGCCAACTCAGTGTTGGCTGATTGGAGACTTTTGTAGAGAACTGAAAATATTTTGTCCCGACATTCTGGCATATAATGACAGGCTGCCAAGGCCTTCAAAGCAGACTGCCTGAGGGGGACCAGATTACTAACATTCTTATAGCAAGAATATTTCTGTAAACTCTGATCATCAGATTCACAGAGAGAAAGTAGTTCTGTGAAAAATACCTTGTGCTCCAAGACAGTTAGATCAATGGTGAAGAGCCTAGGGTCCAGGGTTGTGCAGAATGTATTTCCATCCATGAGACCTATCTGAGCATTGACAGGTTGATGTCTAAGCAGATGCTTCTTGGGAGGGATCATATCTGCCAGTACGTCCTTGTGGGGATTCATAACATCAGTGACAGATCTACTGGTTAGTTCAGAGAGAACTTTTAGACAATGCACCGCTTGTTCACGAACATACTTATTAGGGCTTGTTACCTGCCTAACCAGCTCATGTGTTACATCATAAAGAGATTTTTCTTGAGCTGAAACTAACTCTTGGTAAACACTTTCATCATACAGATTGGACTCTATTGGAGATCCACAATGTCGAAGCATCTTTTCTAGATTAACTTTGGCCATATCTACAGCACCATTGGACACTTCCCCAGTCAGGTCCATCATCACAAATAACAAAGCTTTGAGAAAGTTGAATTGACGTTCCAGAACCCATCTCAAATCCATTCTTTCAAACAGGAACTTGATGGCTATACAACCTCCTAGCTTAGAGTACCAGGCTCTTTCATAACAAAGTGCACACATCTTCTCTGATAGATAGTCCATTAGAGGCAATCTGCAGGCTCTCTCTTTACTCCCTGTAATGGTAGTTGCAGTATCTAGAACAAGAACCATTGCGAGGTGTCCAGGTTTGCATAACTCTTTCTCCTCATGTCCCATTATATTTGCCATAGCATCAATAAGAACTAAACCATCCATACCATTTAATCTCTGGAGTCTGTTCCCAACAGCAGGGAAGGGCCCCGCTTGCTGTGCTATAGCTATCATTGTGTAATGCTTCACCATCGCAACCATTGTAGGAAGTACTGCAGTTCTTAACTCTTTTATAGCAGCTGCCACAAACATTCCAGTCACAGCCATTTGGTGAACATTCCTGGATTGTTTATCTGCACAGTAATAATGAGTTATATTTGAAGTCTGAATCTTTCCTTCCCTGAAGGTCTGATGTGAAAGAAGTTTCAGTGTCTGCAGTTTATCATTCTCAGGTTGGATACTGGAGACAAGGAAACAACGGACAATCTCCCAGCATTGTTTCCTGTAGAATCCAGGTTCAGTAGTACTGGACTTCAATGCATTAAAAGCAGTTTCAATGATGTCCTTCACTGGTAAAGACATTGGTTGTTTGTGATCTGTAAATGTAACTGTGATTGATGGCCCTGTTTCCTCCTGTTCTCTAAACTCCAGTGCTTGAGGCTCAATCATCATTTTTCTATTCCCTCCACCAAACTTACCAAGAACCCTGAATGCTACATGAGCAATCTGATCGCTAGGATTTCTTAGGGTTCTCCAAAGTGCCTGCATAAGTTCTGCTCTAACAGGTTGAATGTGTTCATACAAGAAGTCTGGTTGTAGATTGTCAACACATAGCTCCAGGGTTCGTAAACCTTGAGAAACCAAAGTTTGACTTCCATTGAGAGCTGAAACCAATGGATCCATGAGCATTGGAAGGTAGGGAAGCAGAGAAGATAAACGTACAGGTACAGTCAGGCAAAGCTCCACAAACAGATCCTTCATATGTTGTTTATGCAAACCAGACTGAAGGCTGTTTAGTCCCTGCAGCAGACTTGGCAGAAGAGGAAGGAACTCCTGATACAGTAGATCATGGCTTCCACCACCAATAGATCTAAACAGGGCTCGGAGTAACAAAAAGTAGTTGTAGGGTTCCTTTGCAGTCATAGCTAGCTCCATGCTCTTGTTCACAATCTGATGAAGATGGGGTTTTAGCATCTGCTCATTCTCAGCGGCAAACAGGGATACAGATCCAAACACAAGCTTGAACAGCTTGAGGTACAGGTTGGATCTCTCCATGTTGGATCCCATCTCCTGCATCCTATCTAGTAGGTATTCTACCAAAATGGTGGCAAAGATTGGCGAAGTGACATTGTTTGCTAGAAAGCTGTTGGCCATGATCTGCAGGGCATAGTTTTTATATATTCTCTCCACTACATACTCAATAGTTTGAGAGAAAACCTCCTTGAAGGTGAGGGGGTTTAGAAGAGCAAACACACCAGCAAAATGTTCTAAAACTTCCTTCTCTTCTTTTGTTCTAAAGAAATTATCAATGTTCATTTTTTTAAATTCTAGTCTCTAATTTAAAGGGATTATTCCCGTAAATTTAAGTGCCCCTCATTTTAATAAATGCATAGCTTGTCTGGTTAACAACAGTACCCTTAATACCTTTATTTGAGCAACAAAGTGGAAGATAATTCCTTTTCCTATCTGGAAAAGAGCTGATTTCTGACTAATAACTTTATCCTCTCCTGTTGCATAAATCCACTAGTCACTAATAAGAAGAACCAAAATTGAAAGTGATCAATTTTAAGATAGAGAATAAATGGGATAAATTCATAATTTTTGCTCAGAAAAAGGTTTAAAGGGTAATGTTGTGAATCAGACATGACATTAAAAGAAAATACAGAAGAGGGGGGGGGGGTGCAAATCAAAAACAGATTGATATTGAACATGGTGTTTCCCTGACAGTTTGGTGAGGTTGGGCTCGTGGCTGGTTGTTAGGTGAGGTGTTGAGAGTGTACACGTCTAGGGCTTCCATAGCCCACTTTACCAGACGGATGTAGATCAAGGTCTCCTATACAAAGGTGTTATTTAATTTCGAGAAAAAAATTTACAATAGAAAAATTTTAAATGATAATAAAATCTATGAATTAAGAACTATTTTACCTTGGGGTGAAATTGTTTGGTTTGTGTACTTCCATCTGCTCCTTTAGTACTAAAAAATATCCAATTAGAGCATTAGCAAATCAATTAGAACTTTTTCAAATACCTAATGAAAAAATGTGTTTAAAATATCTTAAAAAACTTTACTCCCATTCTCTCCCTGAATGCCATTTTGTCTTGTTCAGTATACAAAAAAATAAAAATATGAAATTTTTTGTTTTGAATTTTAATAAGTTACATGTGGTTTACATACTTGGCTAGTCCCCATGTGATGGTTTTAACTCCACAGACGAGGGTTTTAACAAGAGCTCTGCAATCTCCAACACTGTAGTTCTGAGCTTGAGAACTAGGGAACCCAAACTTATTCTTCTTCTCCCCCTCTGCATCCTTTTCCTGGAATTTGTATAAAATAAACAAAAAATTATCCAAAAGATTTATTTGTCTTTATTTAGTAAATTAGAACCTTAAGCAAGAAAAGAGTTTTATAAAAAATCATGCAAATTGTATTAAATATGAGTTTAATTGCACCAGAGGGTTCCAAAGGTGTTAAAGGTAAAATAAAAGATTTATGAGATGAAGCAACAGTAAATTATGAATGAATTCCCATTCCATATTTCAGGATAAAAGATTTTAAGTAAAAAAGTAACAATGTACATAAATATTTGTATTGTGTACCTGTGTAGCTGTTGAAGCTGCAGGACCTGGAGATGGAACCGGTTTTATATCATGTTCCATCTTAACATCAGGAGTAGCAGGGGTAGCTGGGGTTTGCGGATTACCAGGAGTGGCAGGAGATGGCATAGGGGCTAAAGAAGGAGGTCCAGGGGTCAGGGGCGCCAAGTGCTGAATAGCTGGGCTTGCAAGAGGTGGGGGAGGGGGAGGTTTATGCTTCTGCATCAATATTGGAAGCTGCAGCTTAGAAACAGTTTTGAACTTGAGAACAAAAACTTCCATCATCTTAACTAGCAGTTCCTTTCCATTTCCAGACTCCTGTTCTGAACGCTGTCGGATACACTCCACCAGGTTAAGGAGTAGCTTGCAGGACATTGTCTGTATCGAGGTTGGTAAACTCTCATCATGGACGTTCTTACTAGAGAGCTGGACCGCCCTAGCCAGGTCAGCCAGGGGTAGATGCTGGCGGACATGATGGACAAGGTCAGCAAGTGTGGAGTAGGCTAGAGGTCGAAGGGTTTCATAAGTCGTGTAGCCTTTACCAAGCAGAATATTTTCATCAAAAAGTTTTTCCATCTTTGGGACAAACTTAATCCTGAGATCGGTGGCGAGGATATGACGAGCTGCAATTAGAAGTTCCTTACGTAGGTGAGCAACCTCATGCGGGCAGATGGTTAGGAGGGAGAGCATACCTTCAACCATTAAACCAGAGTGAAGGGATACTTGCTCCTGGTATATCCTTTAATAAATAAATAATTTATAATTGTCTTATTATGCTACTGTAAGTAAAGTTTGGCCCAACCCTTTTCTTTTTCCTTGAATCACCTTACTACGCTAACTTCCAAATCAAAGTTATTATATCATATCTGCTTGGTTCCATAGCTAGTAGTAGTAAACCTATCGTTTAAGAATTCCCATTATTACACGGTTCAGGAGAAAAATTTTGCATTTTTGTTCGCTTCCTATCGTTAAAGAATGCTTATTCTTACACTAGGGCTGTACAATTTTCGTTCTTTAACGCTCAGACCGTGTAAGAATGGAAATTATTACATTGTCAGAGCGTGAAAGAATGTATATATTCTTACACGCTCCAAGCATTAAATAATGGAAATAATTACACTAGTTGAAGAATATTAATTTTTTTCATGATTTAAAATTCGGTGATGGTGATGGACCAAACCTCTGTAGAGTAAAAAAAAAGTGGATGTTAGTTCCTAACTCTCATTATTTTGATCTTTTCAATGGATCAATATTGATATTAACTTAATTATTTTGTACGAACAACAAGCACACTCACCTTTTTCTTTTATATTATTACATGTAAACTTACCTTATTATACTTTATAATATCATGCTCACTTACCTTTTTTTTACATTAAAACATGTTCACTTACATTTTCAAAAGTATTGATAAACCTTAATTCAGAAATTTCCATTCGAATCTTGACCTAGCTAAGTCCTGACAAAAGAGTGGAAGACCCCCCNCCCCGTCCCCCTGTGTATAATTAATATATCTCATAAGAATGATTCAGAGGACGTTGAAAGTTTCTGACCCTCCCTAACAAAATTATGGACAATGAGCTTTAAGCCTTTTATAAGGCATTTTCATCAAACTGTCTGAGTCTCAAACCATACTGCCCGACTGCCTACTTTTTACAAACAATACTTTAGTTTTTCTTTATTGCAAACCAAGTTTTGCAAGATTTTGCAAATCTCAGCATGTTTGTAAAAGAACGGTCAGAGCTTTTCCAAAATGGAAAGTTATCATGTTTTTCACAATTTCAATCAACTGCCTTTTCACTTTATACTGGATACTGAACAAAAAAAACTTTTCCAAAATTCCACATTCAGTTGTAATATTTGGACAAAATAGACTGAATTAAGAGGTAATGGGGGTCAATTTGCCCTCCACCCTACAACTAAAACTGGTTTTAAAGTACCTCAGTAGTCACCATATCAATCAAGGCTCGAGTTGAAGTGGTACCACAATCAAAAACATTGAATGTTTGTTCATGGAAACAAGTAATTGAAATCTTATCGTCACAAATTTTAAGTGGGGTCATAGCACTCCATAGCAATGAAAACAAACCAACAATCTTGTTTCATGAATAAATGACAAAGATCTTCATCATTTCATTTCTTGAACTAGTTCTTGCTAGATAACCTGCTTTTTTCTCCTCTTATGTTTACGATTTCACGCTTTTGTTTATAAGATTGAGACAATATAGCATCATCTTAAAAAACAAAGCAAATGCATAATAAATTAGTAAACAAACGAACTAACAAAGGAAGCAATCACACCACATGCATTATTTACAAATAAAGAGCCAATTTTTGCTTATAGATGGGTTTTAAACATTTTACCATTGTAACATTAGAAAAAAAAAAGTAATAGTCATAACAAGAGCATAAGTGAAATATAAAAACTAATTTGCAACCCTTCATGATGTCAATTATTCGAACTTGATATAGTCGTATTTCACACGAATTGAAAAAAAATATAATTTCTTGGTTATTTGCTCATGGAACCTCACAAATATGATATAATATTAATCTTATTCTTTCTACGCCATCATATTCCATCTTTAACCAATAATATTTTCTTAAAATCTCAAAAACTCACCATTTATTCTTACTTTCTCCCATTAATCTTAATCGTTACTTACCTAATAATGTAGGCGAGGAAAGATAATGTTTTGATCTGAGCTCCCATAAAATCCACAAAGACCTCCTTGTTGAAAGCTGGGCTCTGCCTGAGGTGTGCTGGGGGCTGGAGACTGATTGTATTCATGATCAAGGGAATAAACTCCTCCACCTCTGGATGCACAAAGTTCTTGTACAACTGGTACATGAGTACTACAATAATAGGGAGCTCCTGCAATACCTTCAGGGACAACACAGCCTGAACAATATAAAATGTTTAATTTTAACACACTTATACAGTCTTAAAGTTTAAACTTACTACTGCATTCACTATTATGAATAAATGATTTTAAAGCGAGTACAATTAAGCATAGACAACTATTTTACATGATGATTCTGAAAATTTAAGGGTGAGTATTTACCTTAGGGATTAGACTGTACGAGATGTTTTGTGATCCATCTGGAAGTTTCTTCTCAGTGTGCACAGAAGTAAGAGTGAAGGTCTCACAGAGAAGGGCATCAATATTCAACTCAGACAACTCTTTTACCTTATAAAGAAAATGTTAATTTAAGATGGAAAATGTCTAACTATATTTAAAAATAGTTCCAAAATTGCCGATTACAGGAGAATATTTTAGGATGACTGCCTTTTAGGGATCAAACTAAGATGGCGGACTACATGAGAATTAATATAAAATGGCGGGTACATGAGACAAAATCTAAAATGGCCGACTATATGAGAATTAATCTGCAATGGCTGACTGTTATAAATTGAGAACAACATTGTATACTTAGGTGAGCCTGTATAAGAGAATTAAAAGTTTAAACTCTAGCTGCAGCGCTCGGCCCCCTAGCCTTTCCTAGCCGCAGCGCTAGGCCCAGAAGTTGTCTTAACCTAATTTAACCTGCAAATAGAAAACTAAAAGTATACCTTGCTGAGCCTATAAGAGATATTAAAAGGTTAAATCCTAGCCGCAGCGCTCGGCCCAGAAGTTGTCTTAACCTAACCTAACCACAGACTGAACATCATTTATGCTTGGGTGAGCCTGTATCAGAGAATTATAAGTTAAAACATTAGCCCCAGTACTCGGTCCCCTAGCCAATTCTCTAGCCGCAGCGCTCAGCCCAGAAGTTGTATTAACATAACCTAACCCACAAATAGAAAGTGACAAGGTTTACCTTATTGAGCATATTTCTTAACTTATTTTTTAAAAATTTCTTAACCTAACCTAACCCGCAGATAGGGAACAACATTGTATACTTGGGTGAGCGTGTAAAAGGTATATTAGAAGTGTAAACACTAGCCGCAGCTCTCGGCCCCTAGCCTGTCCTAGCCTCAGCGCTCAGCCAAGTAGAACTGGATAAAAATATTGACAGATTTTGGTTCTAAGATAATTTAAAAGCCAAGGTAGTGAATATAACCAATGAAATGCAACTTGGGCTGGATAGGTATGAATGTGGTTTAAACAGACTCTCTCGCTTTGAGGCTCACATCTTAGTACACGGGGGGAGTAGCTAAGGGGTCGAGTGACTTATCGACCATGTCTGATAGGGACTTTTAAAAGTAATTAGTTAGATAAATCTTGATCAGGGTCAAACCCAAAGGGTAATTAAACTCGAAAGGTAATTGTAAATTGGAGTGCAGGGAACATATTCCTAAAAACTCAATTAACAAATACAGTATATATAAACCACTGCGCACGGTCCAGATTATTTCCTTCTCATTCAACAGTCAAACTGATCGAGTTACAGCTGGACAGTAAGGAACCTTACAAGTAATCCCGCGCATAAAGTAATGCTCAAAAGGGAAAACGACTTAAGTCACATGAGCTGGATGAGCAGGATCTGATGGAGGATATTAACAAATAAATGCAGATTATTGAAGAAACGAGATTTTAGTGGCTGCGGTTTTCAGCTGCAAAACCACTCTGGGCTTATGTCCCAAGTGGCTGCCCGCGCGAGCATAAACCATTGCACTATGCTAAGCTAACGTGCTAGTCACCCAATTTTGGAAAGTCCGGTGCGATGGGTAGGGTTCTGGTATTTTTTTTCGGAGCTTACAGCTGCCTCATAATGGATAGATAGATAGATGAAAAGGCTAAATACATGGGAATAAATCTAAAATGGCTGTCTACATGAGGATGAAAAAAAAGACCGACTAAATGAGGATAAAATTAATTTCTAACCGTACCTTGATAGTTCCCCTGGGTTCAAAGATCTTGTTGAGATGGTTTGGTAGTTCAGTGTAAATATTTTTAACAAACTGAAGAAACTGCGTGATTTCCTGGACAAAGAATATATGTTTAGAATGACCGTGAAGCAAAGTTAACGAAATAACAAATTTTAAAAATTAAAAGAAAACATGGATGGTAAAAATTTAATTTAAAAAATTATTGAACAAATATATTCCTGTGAATGAGCTGGTCTATACTGTTTATGAAGTTCTATGATAATTCGTAAACAAACCAGGACATTTTCTTCATTCTCATATTCTGCGCACAGAAATCAACTTTATACTCAACTCCATCCAATATTTAAAATCGGCATTTCATTTCCATTTAATTATGATTTCTAATCCATTTATATTTCAATTCCTTTAAAATTTTTATTGAATTCCTTTTCCATCTTGATTCAATTTTTTTATCCTTACAAATTCTTTCCAATTTCCAGTTCCCAAGACATTTGCAAAAACACTGAACAGTTTCAAGAAAAACTACCATGACATGAATGGTTCGTACAAATAATCATAACTAATAAGTCTTAAGTCGCTTAACGCAGTGACGCATGTGGCTATTATTACTATTATTCAAGCGTCAATTCTCCAATTATCTAAGTTTTAATAAAAATGCATATACCCTAACTTAATTTAATTAAAAACAAATCGTCTCCATCTTATATATAGTTTCATCTCATTGAACATGAACAAACAGAAATACCAAACTCCATCTTTTAATTAAGTTGATTTGTTTCCTAGTAGTTTGAAGGTGAGAGACAGTATATTTTTGACGTAGGGTTTAAGAAGATCATTAGTCGGCAATCTCTGGATCATCTCCAGAACTAGTTTCCGTACTTGCTGGATATGCAGCTCAGCAATAAAGTGGGATGTTCCCTCCTAAACAGTTATAATTTGATTCATTCGAATCCACAAAGGGGGCTTTGGTCCCTTTTTAAGAGTCCGTAACAAGTTATTTAATTGAAAAATTAAAATAATTGGCATTGAAAAAAAACGTGGCGGGGGGTCGAGAATATATAAAAATTAAATTTTTCTATGTTCATTTTAAAATTTCAGAAAGCATTTTTTGGCTGGATCCAAAAGAGTCCTACTTTACCTGGAGAATCTTGAGGAAAACCCGCATAGCATGGTCAAGGAAGGTTTGGTACTGCGCATGGCCGATTATTACATCAAAGCTTTCACTGAGTTCTTGAACAGCTTTCAACTTGTTCTCATCTTTTGACTAAAAATCATAAATTTAGTTGTTTTTTTTTGTCAAAATTATCACTTATGTAAATCATGTAAATGACCCCCCCCCCCCCATATCTTTATTTTTCTACCTAAAATTGGACTTTTTACAACTATGTTTTCCCTAGAAACGTGGGGATTAACGCAGCAGAGACAAAGAAATAAATTGTCAGATTTTAACAATGATCCAGATTGAACATCGACGATTACTTTTCCATTTAATGATTATTGATTTTAAAAAAAAAATGCCGCAAGTGTACCGGTGAAATTTTTTATTATACATTTACAGTACTGCATAAAATGATGACTAAAATTTGGAAATTTAGACAAAGAAATAAGTTACCGATGAGTCTCCGAGAACGTTGAGGAAGCTCCTAAACGTGTTGATCTGATGGATCGGGTCCGCAGACAGCGGAGCCCGCTCTGTAGGCAGGCTCAGGGATACTGACATCTTAAGGATTTATTAGCGCATTTTCTGAAAATAATCGGAACTTAATTCAGCTGTTCCATGATGTGGAAGGGAAGGGGAAAAACACCCAGAGAAAAAAATAAATTTGTTAGAAATTGTATGAATAACGCATCCATTTTGTAAATATTTATAAAGAACTGTGAAATAAAATAATATAATCTGTTTAACCACAACTAATTAAATTATTAATCAAGATTATAATAAGTAGGGTATGTGATACGTTACTCACAGGTTGATTTGACCAGAAATTATTTTGACTGCTGTAGATCACATTTAAGACAAAAAAAATGTTAACAAGAAAAGGGAGAGGGGGTTTGTATATATGTTTGAATTCTATATATGATTAATAATATATAAAGGATAGTAACACTGTGCATTAGCTACCATGTCGTAGTTAGGATTTCTTTAGAGCATGAATGTTGGGAAGAGACCGTTCACGGTGTTGATTTTGCAACCGAGAAACCGGAATCAACTCGAATAAAAACCGTGAGCAGTCCATTAAAAATCAAAGAGTAAGGAATTCCAAAAGATTATCCCTCGTCTCCACGTCAACGTTCATGATGATTTCCTTGTAGTTGGTCTCACCCAGCTGCTGGGCCATCTGCTGCACCTAATCAACCAATGAAACTTCAACAATATGTAAATCAATCAATCAATAATTCACAAGACGAATAATCAATCAATTAATACTTATAAATTACAAGGTATTTTTAACAGAATAGCACAAAACATTTTGTGTAAAGTAATAGCGTGCACCCCAAAGAAAAAACTGATCTTAACCTGTGATTGTACATAATCCTTGAGTACTACAGTATGTACAGGATCCTGCATAGCAACATGTCGCTTCCTACTGTCATGCTCTGTTTCATAATCAATATCATCAGTATCCAGCACAGCATCTCCTTGACCTGCCATCAGACTGTCGACAATGGCGCCGGAATCGTCGGGACGGGTCACGTCGTTCAAAGTTTCAGCGATATTAAGGAAGACCATGTAAACTCTGCAGAACATTTCAGATCAAATTAAAGAGATCTGAGCTGAAAACTTTAGAATGGTGGATATCAGGATTAAGGCTTAATCCACTCTTTTTCTTAATCTCCAAATTAAATATTGCTTGTTTACCTCATGACTTTAATCTTCAGATTAATTATCCGACGGGATATCTGGATATTTCATTCTAAAGTTTTCAGCTCGCGTAATTTCAGGTAACCCTCCATTTAAAAAGTATCATGTCTGATTCACACCGTAACCCTCGTGTGCTTAACAATGGGGAAGATATTACAATTTCCTTCATTGTCTTTCCAGAATAACTCCACAAGTCACTTTAACTAAGAAACCTTTAACTAGAAAAAAAGGATATCCTTTTAAATCTTGACAAGAAATAAGGTAAAAAGGTTACTATTGTGAATCGAACATACCACTTAATGTACAAAGGGTTAAATAAAAAAGTACGAAGGGGATGATATTCAAATAACAATAATCTGAATTTATTCCTTGAGAGAACAACAGGTGACTCCGTAGTAAGCAGAGAAGCCAGGGCGAGGGAGAGAAGTTTTCTTCGCTCTGGAGCAGTTACACAAGCCATCTTATCACACCAAACATCCAATACCTAGTTACACAAGCCATCCAAAACATAATTACTGCAAATATAGACACTGTCTGAGTGTATGCTATAAAAGATTGAACCAATTATGGGTCCTACAGTAGGACCCATAAAACTATGAAACATGAAAACAGCAGTTCTGCAATGTATATTTGTATATTTGATAATGTTTTAAAGTTAAGAGTTTTACCAGCAGCTTAAAATCAAATAGAAAAGTTAAAAGTGGTCTGTGTACACTGTGCAGTGTACATTGTAGAATTGCTTTTTAAAAGTTTAACGGGCTATTTAAATTCATAACTTGATCTTTTCACACAGACATCCTCTAATTCCATATTTTCATGGGTTCCACTGCACAATACAATCTTTGTATCTATATAATAAAACAAGACATTCATATATATGTTGCGTATAGTCGGTCAAACGGCTGGACCGATAAGGGAGGAATATTTTGTGGACACTCATGGGTTGCCGGGGGGGGGGGGGGGGGTAAGGCTAAAAAATAGATTTTATCCCCCAACATTTTTGTTCACGGGCAACGCCAGGCCCTTCAGCTAGTTATTACTATTATTATTATCATTAGCAGTCAACCCATCATTCCTTTATTGTATATTTACATAAATTTAACTATCTGACGATGTGTGTAATATTGAAAAATCAATGTATTAATATCAGAGGGCTACAACTTGTTGACGGGCTGTGTTACCTATTTCTGATTGAACTTAACCCGATTGGGAAATTAATAACATATGCGTCCAAAAAAATAATTGAAAATATAAATAAAAGATTTTTTTAAAAAGAATTTTATAATCAATAAGTTTCTCACCTTTCCCGCCACATCGTTATGGTTTGAGTTGATGAGGGTTGCTGCCGTGAGACAGAGTTGAGAGAAGAGTGAGTGGGAGATGAGGATGAGCCGGGAGAGGATGGAGAGATGAAGAGACATGAGGACAGGATAATCCTCTCCAGTGTGAACAGCTTCAACCACTATCAACAGTAGAGGTTCTAGCACCTACATCACGATAATGTTAGATTCTAATATAAAGGGGCTGACGACAAAGTTTTCAAGTAATGTTTCGTGCCCGATTCACAACGCTACCCTTCAATCTTTCGTTAGAGCAACAATGACCAAGATTCTTCTCTAATTAACTCGCAGATTTATGCGACAGAAACGAAAGAGAAAAATTACAGAATTAACCATGTTTTTAGTAGAAAAACATTAATGACTACCTTATTGTTACTCACATAAAAATAATAATAGCTGTCAACCCTTAATCTGAAGTGATTAGGCTTGAGCTTCAGTCCGTTTATAGTTATCCTGCATTGACTCAGTTTTGAGCTGAGTGTAAACCCAGAAGTGTGAGACAAGCCAGTGAATAGAGGAGAATTGATTGATTGATAAATCTCACCTGTGTAGTATTTGGAGGTCCGCATCTAATCCAGGATTCTACTAATCGTAATATCATCAGTCTACCATCATCCTGTACAGTAGAGAGTGTGGACAGAGTTAGATTTCTGCGGCGAGAAAACAGGTTGTCAGTAGTTCATTTTTGGTTTGTTTCTTACCTTTGTTTTCTTTTATGTCAAAATTTGACATATTGCTAGATGCGTAATTGTGTATTCTAAACACTTAATTTTCTTGAAACTATTTCAAGTATAGACCTTGACAGAAATTAATTGCAAAAACGAACCAAAAACTATCCAAAAACAAAGGTGTTGAATTTTTTTTATTTAATTTTTTTAATCATAAAAAGTCAAATGGTAAAAACTATTTTTCAAAATTTGTATTTCTTTCTCCTTAAAAAACATATTTGCATAATAACTTGAAATGCAGTGTAGTTGCAAGCTGACCATATGAAGTTTAGAAGAAATACAAATTAGAAGATTACTCACAACAAGTTCTGGATACATCTTGGCACACTCAGCCACTATTGCAGGACCTACAGTCTCCATCACCTGACTTGGACACAACAGAACATATGCCTGAAATACAACAAACATTACTTAACTAATAAAATAATAGTTTTACAAAATAAGCAAATGATAAAGTTATTTTCTTGAGGGGGATTTTTTATTTAATATACCCCTGCTCCGACCTGTATAATATATATTGTAGTTCTTAGGTTTTCCGACCCCATCTCTAGCAGTGGAGGTATACGTGGGAGCAGGTTGACCAGCTCGTTGTATGGTTTAGCAGTGTTATGCAGTACAGTCAACCACAGCTCTAATCCATCCTTCACAAACCAGAACATTACAATAGATCTAGAACTGGGATAAAGATTAATAAGATCGGTAGATAGATCTAGAACTGGTAAATAGATAAACTACCTCTAATAGATATATATGAGAATCCTGTGTAAGATCAGTAGATAGATCTAGAACTAGTAAATAGATATACTACCTCTAATAGATATATATGGGACTCCTGTGTAGATCAGTAGATAGATCTAGATTCTAGAACTGGTAAATAGATAAACTACCTCTAATAGATATATATGGGACTCCTGTGTAAGATCGGTAGATAGATCTAGAACTGGTGCAAGGAAGGGAAGTAACCCCTCGCTAACAGTTCCCAAACCTTATAAATTAAAAATACAATTTAATTCCAAAAGAAAGATGTTAATAAATTCACTATAAAGAAATAATTGTTAACTTGAAAAAAAAATGGAATCATTTATTTAATTTGATTGAAATATGATAGACATTCTTTCACAATTCATGGTTTGACATGTTTCAAACCTTTGCTTTAATATTCCCATTTATAACTGAGATCAAAAAATAATTTCTTAAGTTTGGAAAAATGATAAAATGTCAACAACAGATGTTTTAAAACTGACTCACCTTGCACAATAAAAACCAGGGTTGTTAATATAGCACAGCGAAGCATATCATGCCTAGAGGATTCCTCCCATAGTATTGGTAGATAATGAAGTAAAGATGAGCAGATAGGACGGATACCAACTCCTACACGTTCTATAAAGTAGCTCAACACATTCAATACGTTCAGCTTCGTATCACATTCATTTACCTCCTAGACAATAGAATAATCAGAAACAAAATAGATAAGAACAGACATTAACTGAATAGCCAGAGTCTAAGGAAAAGAATAGATTATAAATAGAAAGGCAAACAAAAAAGTAAATTTAGAACAGAAAATTAAAAAATTAATGGAATTTTGATATAAAAAAATAAAATGGATTCGCAAAATAAATAAAATAAAATAAAAAATAAAAATGTGGGAATTTGCCTTCAGCTTTCAAGTTTCAGATCGGAGTTTCGACTCATCACGGTTTCTCAACCTAACTTTTCTATATCTATGTTATTGGTTGAATTGTTGCACTGGACAAAATAACGGAAAATAAGGAATACAAGGTAGAAGAATAGCAGAAGAAATGAGATTTATAATTCAACATTCTTTTTTATTTATAAAAGAAATTGAATCTTTGCCACAATCTCAAATTTTATAATCCCAATATGTTTGGCACGTGACCCTGATGGTGTGAACTTTTGATTTTTCAAATTTGTTTTTTATTTAACATAATTTGAAATTGCAATAGAGATTAGAAAATCAGAGCTTGTGGCTCAATTCCTTTATGCAAAGTTTGTTGGACCAAACCTTGAGAAGGTTGAACAGTAGGGAGAATACTTGAGCCAAGTAAGGTTCCAATTCTTCAATAGAAAACTCAAAATCATCAATCACAACTTTTAACGCCTTAACATGTTTAAAAGTGAATCCTTAAAAATGGTTAACCTATATTATGTTGGGATACATTTTATTGTGTAAATCAATCAATCCATCAATTAATTAAATTGAAATCAAATCAATTTTCATCCTGAATCTTTCATCAATCAAGTAATCAATAATGGAAGATCTAAAAAGACTAAACCGTACTTTGCTTCCCATTCTTCAACCAATCAATAAATCAATTAACCAATCAAAAAACCAACTATGAATCAAAATAAATCCCACCAAAGGCGCGGCATATTAATTAAGTCAAATAAAGTACCTTAGCTGCTGCAAGACGGACGACAAGGTCCTCTTCCTCAGCTAGTAGAGGGAGGAGGAGCTGGTACAACCTGCAGAACATTGTCGTCAATATGGTCTGCTCATATATGTATGTAAATGGAGGATAGTAATTGGGATTTTAAAAATATAGAACGGGATTAAGAGTAAAATGATAACGGATAAAACTGCCAACAACAAAAAATATGAAATGAAAGTGAGGATATATAAATGAAGTTAGATTACAACACAACAAAGTGGGAACACTAAGATCAGCGGTTGATTTTAAAACATTATACAGTCCTTGTAGAAAGACATATGAGTTTGAAGTTTAAAAATGGAATGATTCAGATTAAAATTGCAACATCTCTTACCTAGGTCTTAGCCCAGGTGATAGTTTAACCCCAGACCATTGTCCTAGGAGCCAGCAAACACGGCGTCGTATAATTCGGTAGTTGGAGTCCTGCATAGATTATTTCTTAATAAGATTCAGAGGTGTACTTTTAGTTTAAATTAATTCATTTTGAACTGTGCTAATTAGGTAGTTGGAGTCCTACACAGATAATATCTTAATAAGATTCAGTGGTATACTTTTAGTTTAAATTAATTCATTTTGAACTGCGCTAATTAGGTAGTTGGAGTCCTGCATAGATAATATCTTTATAAGATTCAGAGGTGTACTTTTAGTTTAAATTAATTCATATTGAACTGCGCTAATTAGGTAGTTGGAGTCCTGCATAGATAATAACTTTATATGATTCAGAGGTGTACTTTTAGTTTAAATTAATTCATATTGAACTGTGCTAATTAGGTAGTTGGAGTCCTGCATAGATAATATCTTTATATGATTCAGAGGTATACTTTTAGTTTAAATTAATTCATTTTGAACTGCGCTAATTAGGTAGTTGGAGTCCTACATAGATAATATCTTTACAAAATTCAGTGGTATACTTTTAGTTTAAATTAATTCATATTGAACTGCGCTAATTAGGTAGTTGGAGTCCTACATAGATAATATCTTAATAAGATTCAGTGGTATACTTTTAGTTTAAATTAATTAATTTTGAACTGTGCTAATTAGGTAGTTGGAGTCCTACATACATAATATCTTAATAAGAATCAGTGGTATACTTTTAGTTTAAATTAATTAATTTTGAACTGCGCTAATTAGATAGTTGGAGTCCTACATAGATAATATCCTAATAAGATTCAGTGGTATACTTTTAGTTTAAATTAATTCATTTTGAACTGTGCTAATTAGGTAGTTGGGAGTCCTACACAGATAATATCTTAATAAGATTCAGAAGTATGCTTGAAGTTCAAATCAATATACATATAAAGTGCTGCACTAATTCGGTAATTGGAGTTCTAAGGATAAAACAACTTAGAAATATTCAGAGTGTAATTTTAGTTTTTATCAATAGCGCTAATTCGGTAGTTTAAGAGTCCTACATAGATAATATCTTTGTAAGATTCAGAAATATGCTTTAAGGTTAAATTTATTCCTTTAAAACTGCGCTTATTAGGTAGTTGGAGTTCTTCACAGATAATATATTTTGTCAACTAACCCATTATAGGCGAGAGCAATTTTTTCCTCAGAATTGGCTAAAATTTTAAACACTTTCTTGACATCTAGCTTCTGCTCTTAACTACTGATGAGCCAGGAATTTCCTACCTTGACATCTAGTTCCTGCTCTTAACTACTGATGAGCCAGGAATTCCCTACCTTGACATCTAGTTCCTGTCCTAAACTACTGGTGAGCCAGGAGTCGAAATCTATCTCGTCGTATAGATCGAACGCCGCGTGTCCGACCGCAGCGTAAACAGCGTCCTTCTGTAGGATAGCAGGCAGGTTTGTAGGATCCAGAAGGGTTTGACTGGATCGAACCATATCCACTAATACAGGAGCCAAGCTTTCCCTGCACAGAACAAATTTAAATAACTCACAACAGAATTTTTTAATAATATCTCAACATTGTATGATATTCATCAGATCATTATGACAGTATTCTATCTTTTTTCAGTTTTTAGTTTTAAAATTAGTTTTAATACTTTAATCCATTGTAACTGTTATTGTCTTTAATGTATTTAAATTTCTTTTAATATGCGAGTGTTTATAAAACATGCAAGAGTGGTCTTTATAAATGAAATAACAAAAATTAAGACAACATCAGGAACGGGTTGCATTTTTTAATTTTGGAAACTAGTTTTAAAGATGTTAATCTCAACTATAAATAATTACCTGTATTCATGGAAAACAGTTACAAACACAGCTTCACAGCAGGGTCTCCAGCAATATTTCCAACTTAATAATTTTTTAATGAAAATATGCGATACGTGTCTTAAACTTGACAACTTGAAAATCTTTTTCTTCAACGTTTAAATAATCAATAGATCAATTAGTGTTCCGGACTCCCATCCGTTAATAAACCAAAAATGATAAATACACTCCATTTGTAAAAAAACGTTGGTATCGTTAAATTAAAAATGGAAGACATAAAACATATAAAATACTTTTAAAGGGAGTGTTTGACAGTTTTGGAATAGGCGACCCATTCCCTTTAATCTTGCGAAGAATTGAGAAGAATAGAAAGACTAAGCTATCAGTAACCAGAGGAGCATATGATTAATTTAAGAAAATCGACTGCACCCTGCTGATATATAATCTTGACCTAGGGGAAGGGATCAAATAAGATTATAATAAGATTTTGTGCGCACCTGTCCCCTGTTTCTTCACACGCAAATTCTTCTGGATCTTCTCCCCATAGCTCTAGATCCTCTTTAGTCATCAGAAGGTAGTCGGAGATTAATCTAAACAGGTGCCAAATTTTATGAATAGCGAGACAAAGTTGAACCGAGTGTAGAGTTAAACCACTTCTCCTTATTTTAAAAAGGCGCACCAGATATGTAGTCGCTCTAAATCTGGTCCCAGGACTCATTTAACAGAGGTGTATTCTTTTCTATTAAAAACATCCCCCCTTAACCCTTCCCCATCCCTCTCATCTTCAAAAAAAAGTTTTAATTATGAATAAAAAGGTTTCTAATAGCTTTTCGGGTACAAAAATACTTCCGGAAGAAAATGAGTTATTGTGAAATAAGTGTTGACAAAGACGTTAGGCTTGCTCTTCAATGTTCCGTGTTAATTGCTTATCAACAAATATTCGAAAATCAATATTTTTTGAAAATAAGTACTTATTGTGAATTATCCAGATAAAATAAAAATATTCTGAATTAAAGAAAAACGTAATATTTAAGGGTTTTTGTTTTCGTAACCCAGGTCAAGAAGTAAGATAAGATAGGAAAAAGATCATGAAAGATCCCAAATGTGGAATCCCCAGACCGCCGTCCGAGTAAGGGTCTCAGTCAGTCAGTCAGTCAGTCAGTCAGTCAGTCAGTCAGTCAGTCAGTCAGTCAGTCAGTCAGTCAGTCAGTAAGTCAGTCAGTCAGTCAGTCAGTCAGTCAGTCAGTCAGTCAGTCAGTCAGTCAGTCAGTCAGTCAGTCAGTCAGTCAGTCAGTGGTAAAACTGAGCCTGATTCAAAACACCTTCTGCAAATTTCTGTGACAGTGTTTAATTGAAAAAATTCGGATTTCAAGGCGTGAGCTTCCAGTGTAGCCTCCTCCTTAGTATCTATCATATTCTTCGGGGGTTTATACTCCATACACACCAGGATACCCTACACATCAATCAATCAATTAATCACCCAACCAACCAAAAAAATCAATCAATCAATCTATCAATAAGTTTTAATTTATATTAAATGTTTTTTATCTTTGGACTTAATATACATTAAATAGCTTTGTTTCTGATAATAAAAACTGATCAATATATGGAGAATTCTTTCTGCTTCTTACCTTCAAAATATTAAAGCAGAAAATGATAAATCGTTGGAACATTAATCCTCTTCCATCATCCGTAAAACACAGGGAACAGATAAACGTTAAAGATTTCCTAAAACATTTCAAATCATCTAACTACATAGTAAAACTGTACTCTCAATACACTGTACACTGTACAGTGTACAGTATACCCAGTCCACAGTTTTCCTATTGTGCTGTGTACTTAGTATCAAATCTTACCAACAAAATATACTGTTAAAAGAAATTGGGAGGGGGGTTTGATTTTTTGAGAAGAATTTAATTTGCGAGATTAATATTTTTTTATGAACAGTTTTGTCTGATTTGTTTTTAAAGAAAAATCAGGGTTGCATATTTTTTTAGAATATTAAACAAATTGGGAAAAAATAAAAAATTAGACATCAAAAGGCAACTTTTTCATTGATTTTGATACTTTTAACTCATAATTCATTTATCCCTAAAATAGATTGAACAAAGGCTTTCAAAGGGGGGGGGGGTGATTTTTCGAGAAAATATGAATTAATTAATTAATGACCTGATATGACTGACGAAAGCGTAAGGATGACTCTCTAAAAGATCTGCCCAAATCTTCTGATGCAGTACAATATATTTCTCCATGGGTTCACGGAGCACACAGTTAATATTCTTTCTTGCTTGCAGAAGGTTCTTGGCTTCATCAAACAGTTTATCAACAAACATCATTGCCTAGAAATAGTAGACTCGTACAAACTTCTTTTATCTTCTATATAAAATGCTATTGTGACAGGAAACCCGGAAACCAAAACGAAACCTAAACGGCAAAACGAGAAAAGATTATTAAACAAAACTACATACAAGATAAAAGCATGATATCAATAATTCACAAAAACAGCATAACAATAGTAGAGAAATGACAAGGAAAGGCTGGAAAGCTTAAGAGCCAATTAAGAGCCAGCAAGATGAAAAAAAATATTACAAAAAATATCGAATTTAAAGTACAAGATTACTAAGCCTACCACCCCCCTGCCATAACTAAAAGTGAAGGGGTGGAAATGTCCATCCCCCCCCCCCACCACCACAAATAAGAAAAATCTATACCTCTGTGTTGTCCTGCGGACGTTTAAGTCCTTGAACCACTAGCCTGCGGAGCACCTTGATTGCAAGAATAGATTTGGCAAGAGCAAGATTTGATCCTTCTTCTCCTACTCTTAACATCTCCAATAGGGTTTGGTGAAGGCCATGCCAAAGGTTCAAAAGGTATCCTAGAGTAAAAATAATTTTAATACTTGGCGTTTCTAATCTAAATAATTTCCCCATTAATCGGAGTTCAGCATGTTTATTGTTTATATCACAATTGCGAGTTAAAAATGGTACTGCAGAAAAAATATTTTGAGTGACCCTCTATTTATGAAATGACTTGTCCGAGTCGTTGTGCCCTTCAACCCTTTGTTGTTTCTCTTTTAAAGTCACTTCCGGATTTTAAAAACTACCTATAATGTTATTAGTGAGGTCCAGGAATGCACGTCTATCCACTGCTAGACGTTTGCTGGCTAGAGCCTTAATGGTGTGATGTAGATAAAGCAAACCCCTAAACAAAATATCAAGTTTTATATAAATATCAACGAATAATACATTGCATGTTCAAGACTATATTTTTCCGAAGAAAAATTTAAAGTATGATTATTTTCTTTGTTTTACACCAACTTGAGAGCTACAAATCTTCCCTTTACACAGAACTGTGCATAATTTTTATTTGATGATGTTGCAGGGCAATACTAAAGTAGAATTATATATATTTTATGTATATATACTTAAGTCAGAACTTTTAAGTTATGAATTTCGGGATCAAACTTGATCTCCATCCTATGCAGATTTTTTGGTGATAACGAAAATGGAGATATCAAGCACTACCATCTCATGTATAAAAGATGTCATTGTGGAATTCGAGATCAAGCGTTGTAGATTAGCGACATGTTACACAAAAGTTCTGAGCTCTGCCTGTCTGACAACCTGACCTGTGTTGAACAGTATTATCTTGGGATTGTACAGCTTCACTTAGTGCTGGGAGAAGATCAGGCCAGGCACGAGGAACATCAAACCTAACATCATTATTATTCAGGGACCGAATTTTATGAGTTGGGAGGAAGCTGAACTACCGATTCAAATCCACCTTTAAACTTTGAATCGGCGATTTAAATTTTGAACCGGCGCGCGGTACGTAGTTGAGCTGTCATCGCGCGGTTAATTCCAAATTTAACTCAATTTTTTACCTATACCTGCAACCTGTAGGGACTAACATTTTTATTTTAATATTTTCAAATCATGAATCAATCTTTTTTCTGTTTTAACTTCATTCAACAATAAACTCTGGATAAAGTAAGGAAATGCTAATGCTATACCTTGCAGCTTTAGATATAGAGACCGCCACTTGCACAGCTATCTTATTCTCGGGTTCAGAGAAGGACCGAAGGAACCCTGATGAGTATTTAAATAATACATATTTGAAAACAGCTTTAAAAAAACTTGTAAAGCGATAGAAACTGCTTCGAATCTTATCTGCAAAATCATTGATGTAAGAACCAGGGGGGGGGGGNCCCACCTTTTCTTCCTCACTGATAGCATTGGGAGCATTTGTTCTCCAATATCTAAACATTAAGTTCTAAAGTTTAAAGAAAACAAAAAATGTCACTTTTTAATTAAAAAAATATGTCACTTATTTATTTAAAAATATGTCATTTTTATATTGAAGTTTTGTACAAGAAAATTTATCTTAAATAGTTTCAGTAAAAAAAAACCACGGCTCATTTTTATCAAAAATAAATTACAGTTCAGTCTCGAGGTCAAAGTAAAATCATCAAACCAAAATATGAAATCTTACTTATCTACTCCGTTCTTGAAGTACACAACTGCTTGCCACCTGATATTGGCATCAATGCTGTAATCTGTGAACGTGTTCATGAGAATAGTATAGAAACCAGGCTCAATCTAAACATACAACTCTCTTAGAATTTTAAAACAAAATAATGAGTTGTTTTTCTGTAATAGAATCAAAAAGAGAATCGAATTTTAAAAAACCAACGAGCTTCTAACTGTAAAATTTAAAGTAAAATAGCGCGATATTTAATGAAATCGACAATTATATTTCATTTAGCGATCTAATATATGTCACACCCTCCCCCTCTCTCCTTCACCTAAAAACCTTCATAAAACGGACTGTAATCGAAAATTTATGTGACCCTGCATACAAAAGAAGGCAATTCCCGATTCACAACGGTACCCTTAAAAGAATTGTCTGATTGTATGAATTAGATATTGATGTTTTTGTTTCTTTTATTCGCGAGTTCTCAGCTTAAGATTAATCTTTGCCATCTTTGTATGGAGAGTTGCAAGAAAATTACGTTTTAACTGCTTTTTAAAATCCTATATTTACCTCCCACTGCCTAAGCTGTTCCTCTGCCTGCCGTATTGCCAGGGGATCCTGACTTCCAGCATTCTGTAAACTTGACAGTACTAACTCTACAGCCATACTTAACAGAATACAGTGAATATCATAAAAATTCAGAACATGGGATATGTTTCGTTCAGATGCGAATCCAAAATTTATCAGAAAAATATTCTGGGTCTGTCCTAGAGGACGATTGTTGGACCCCCCCC